TGCCCTTTGTGTTAGTCATTTTGGCAAACTGGAAGATGGCGGTTCCAGCCGAAAGCGAAGGCTGTGACTTTGCTTCGCATAGAGACCACAACTGGAAGAGAAACCTCCGGCCAGAACCACTGCATGAGACAGTCACTGAGAAACAGACCCGGATTGCATTATAAATTGATGATCTCAGTGGATTTGTCATAATCTTGGAGAGCGGATGTTAAAAAGTAGACTACCCAGTGTAGTTGACGTTGTATTTGTAATACCCTTCCCATACATTTTGTGTCTGTTTGTACGGATTCAGGATGGATTCTATGGCTCAGGAACAAAACGCTATCTTTCAGCCTTGAGAAAACATCATTGCCTGCTGGAAACACTACAGAGTACACTTGCAGACCTGCACAAAATGGAGGTGACAGTCTTGTCGGGGATTGCTCCCCCTAATTAGTGCCAGTTGGCTCAGGGATTCATGAACAGGCTGAGCCTCTACTTCACCCCACTTCTCACCAATGTATAATGGACATTTTGTTCTCAGAGGACCCCAGTTGCTAAGCCTTCTGCCTGCAACCAAGAGGCCACAGTGGAACAGTTCTAGGGTTCAAAACTGTCCCCAGTGGACTGCACCCCACCCTCATCACATGCTAAGCTTTTTTTCTTAGTATGAAAGCCATACAGGATGCCATTACCCCCAAAGTGCAGTACTAAGAGGAAAATAAAATGAACAGTTTTGTTGCTGGATCACGTGATGCCTGCTATTCATTGTTGGCCATTGTGACAGCCAGTACAATAAACACAAAAATGCTTACTTTGAAATCCTGTAATACTTCTATCCAGGTTAAAAAAAAAAGTCTTCATTCTCAGGGCTCTTGACCCACTAGAACCTGTGGGGAAAGGCAGGCAGACGGCGACCACATTTTAAATGCAAGACAAACTTTGCGGTTTAATTGTAGTACGGATGCACTGTGAGAGAAAAAGTCAGATTCAGGACAGTCGTCCCACGGCTTGGACCTGAGCAACCAGAGAATTTGAAACCATACTTTGTGAGACCAGGAAAGTTGAAGGGAAGTGACGGTGAGTGGCAGGTGGGACTGAGGACTTGAAATGGAGCATGTTAGAACTTGGAGGTGTGGCGAGCCCTCAGCGGGTAGTGTCTGAAAGCAATGCATTAAGGGAGTCTAGAGATCGGGGACGTGGGCTGAGCTCTCTAAAGCCATTGTGAGATACAAGCTGGGTGTCGGGGGCCCCAGAGGTAACACAATGTGCGAAGCAAAGAGACGAAGAGAGCTCAACACGGGAGGCCCGGGAGGCCCGGGAGGCCTGGCTGCTGAGATGATAAATGGAACTGAGAGACAAAATAACATTTTATTTTTCAGTTTTCAAATATAAACTTATCCAATATAAACGGAAAGGAAGTTTTCCTCTGGGGATGACTGCTATAATATGGTCCAAACAATTGCACTTGCGGGATCGGCGCCCCTGAGCAGGTGGGAAATCGACTGCTTTTAAAGAAGTGTGCACGTCCTGCCCTCTGCTGGTCAGTTTTGTGCACCGCACGTTCCAGAGAGATTACGCATCCTCTTTCAAAATACAATTTATTGCAGTATTTTGCTTACAGCAAGCACTCTGATCTAGTCCAACAACTGAAAGGCTGCCGCCAACATCTCAGAGTTTTTTAAAAAATTTTTATTTAAAATATTTTTCCATAATTCTATTGAGAAAAAAATAGCAATGAGACAGCCTCAAACCAAATTGGTAGGATAGCTTCAATAATCAACACATTGCATACACTCTTCCCAGAGGTTAATCGCTGCACAAGAGGCGGACATGACATACCATCCACAAACACCACTAGAACAAATCCCTCCATTCATCAAGAGAATGCAACCATATATCCATCCCACCCACCCTGAACACACAGATACAAAATGGACATTCATCTGCATCCCCCCTTTTTGTTAAGTTCCATCATTTGAACACCATAGGTGTGTAAACTCAGCAAAATATTCTAAAAGAGTCCAGCAGTCCATAATAGTATTGGGTCTTCCGCTTCACTGGCAATGTCAGAAATTGTTGACCTGAGTCCCCTACAGCTCAACAAAACAGCATGGCTTTACTTCTTTTTAAAAAAAAATTTTTTTTTTGCATTTATTTTGTGTGTGTGTGTGTGTGTGTGTGTGTGTGTGTGTGTGGCCAGCTCAGCCCACCAGGGAGTGGGGCTGGCTGGCATGTGGTGCTGGGGGATTGAACCGCGGTTCCTGTGCTTTGCCAAGCTTATTCTAAGTAGGTGCTTTAGACCACTGAGCCATCTCTCCAGCCACCCCTTTTTTTTAAAATTTTTTTTTTACTTCTTATATTTTGTTTTTATACTTTTCTGCTGGATGGTTAAGACCAAGGTAAAGCAGGACCTATGCAACAAGAGTTGTAGCTTTTGGGTGTGATAAGGTCAGTGAAATCCCCTCAGGATTTATCCAGAGATCCTGTACCTCAGATTGTAGAACCTTTGTCAGTGTCAGTCATGTGGATGAGTCACAGCCATTGCTTGGCCAATGTGCTCTCTGTGAAAGCCTGAGAGAGTGTCTTCTCCCCATGTGACTCTCCTTAGGCACACTCTACATCATCGATCACTTTCCTCTTTGGCTCTGTAATCTCCTTGATCAGAAAATTTGGGACACTACCGACATACATGACATTACAGTACAAGTTCTCATATGTCCTGAGTCTTAATTGACCTTGGAAGGCTAGGGCCAAAATGTTGACTTTCCTTGTGGCCCTCCTTTTTGTCTAATTTTGGTCCGCAAACTTAGGTTGTTAACCCTCCAGAAGACAAGCTTACTGTTATTACCATACAACCTGGGCTGTTAAGCTTAACCTCACTATCTGTCTGAATATCAAACATCTTAGGCATCACATGGAACAGGTATTTTCATCAAGTATTGATATGTTGAACTTTAAGTCCCTACAGAATATGATGAAAAAACATTTAAAAATTAGAATACATTTTAATATTTTAAAAATAGGCATAAAATTATATACTTCTTATGTTTGCACATAAGTCTAAAAATTTAACCATATACAACCTTGAAGCAGGACAGTCCCAAAACATTCCTTTTCCTGTTTCTTGCCTTCATTCACCACCCCCTTCTTTTTGAACAATCATCTA